CTGCAACTGACAACAATAAATCAAAAATCAATTTTTTGTCGTTTTTTAAGAAAAGAAAAACAAAACAAAATTCAATTCCAAGTATGGAGAATCTCTCCACTCACCCTTCCTTGCGGCTGCGAAACAAAGAATCACACCCGCTTTTAGAGAAAACTCACTAAACTGCAGAGCTGGTGGGAAATGCCGCTGGATTGGAAAATAGCATTCTGGGCTGTGACCAGGAAGGAATCTAACGGTATATGTACTCTTGGATATTGTGCTATGTATATTTCAAATATAGCCATTGAGGATACTCTCCCGAAGAAGCAATGAACATTGTATAATCAACATAGGTTACAATTATCGTCATTTATAGATTCAATAACAAAAAGTATGAGGGAAAAAGTATGTGGCAGACATGCAGAGATCAGATTGTCCCAGCTTTAGTAATGAAGAAATGGAACTGTCATATTTCCCAGGCTTAAGCTTTTCTGATTTTGACTTGGAAACTATACGGAACCACATTTTAGCTTTTGCTTCAGGACTGCTCCATAAATTTTTCAACATTTAGATTACCTACTAATTCCAAATTACTGATAATGGGTTGTGCATAATGATGCACGCAAAGTTATAAATAATTTGAATTGGATGATTTTTCCTGTTTTTTCTTCGTTTTCCTTATTGATAGATGTAGTTATGATAATCCTACATCTTGATATGCTGCCAGTTAACTGAGTTCAAATGGTCTTAAATAACTGAATCATTAGAATAAATAAAAATGCGTGAAACTAAGTGAGTGAAAAGGAGTATTTATTTATGACTTGCAGGTGAATCGTAAATGTTCAAATGTTAATAATCGAACGTAAACTCATATATGCAGGAAAGACAAGTAAAACGAAGTGGTAAATGAAAAAAACTGTATCTATGAATGAACTATTCTCAATATCTGTTTGCATTAAAATAAAATTCAACACTCTATTGCCTCACCTCTAACGAGGGCAAGAATTCATTTGTACAAAGCCTCATTTAAACGAATAGCTTGAGTTAGATAGCTAACATCATTTTTATGTTATTTTGTATACATTAAATCAATGAAGTTGTATCTTGAATTTAGCACAGTGTAGTTGTCGTTGTTGTCGTCTGCCATTAAGGCAGAGGGGGTGCGATTTCTCTTGTTTTCCTGTGGCACCATCTACGGCCAATAATTCAGCTTCTGCCACACACATGCGTCTCATCCAATGACAGGGCGGACCCATTCTTAGATCCATTCATTCATCCACAAATCGTTATTTTGACCTGAACAGGAGAACGATCCACCTGAAATCCAGTACCCCCAGAGGTATAATTTGTTATGGAAATAGAGAGGACGTTGTGATCCGACAGACTTAAGGTATACCAGTCACCATTTACTACACGAGGAGTCACCATCAGCCGGCCGGATTCGAACACCCGTTCTCACGAACGTAAGTCCAGTGCCCTACCAACCAGGCTATTCCAGCCATCTTCCACCATTAAAATCTACATGTTATCATTTCCTAAGACATTAAAAGATTGAAACTATTACCAATCAACTTATTTTTTTTAAATTTTATTATTAATAGTAATACTTTACTTAAAACTGTTGAGAGATTGTTCTAAAATTATATTCAGGACGATTACTGATTATATTTAAGTAGGATAAAGTTTAGTGATTATATCGAGTAATATTTTAAGGACTATGACAGCTCAGTGGCTAGAGAATCGAACTTCGATAAGGCCCATGGAGTACATGCGATATACACGCTCATAAAATCTGTGGATTCAAACGTCTTGGGTTCTTTTGCTGAGCGGTACCATGGATACAGGGATCTGTGGAAAATCTCCACCATCTACAGATCTATGTATAAATTAAAGAAGTGGCCCCAAGAATGAGTGGTGAGACCCATGATGAAGTCCATCTATCTGTGGGATTCTGAGCCAATTTTACTCTTGCGGTACTCTTTTGTCAAACGAAAACCCCATTCGGACTTAATTTGCAGAAGCCAATGGTTGGCAAGCTTGGCTTGCCCAAGCATCATTGGAAACAACAAGTATTTTTAATACGCATATTGTTGAGAATTATTTTTTATTGTTACGAGCAGTAATTTAGGAATTTCAAAAACAGATCAAAAATAAATTTTACATATTTTAAATTTATCTTCTTTATTTTTAATTAATAGCATTAATTTCATTTTTAATTTAATTTATCCATCTGTTTTGGTCTGTAACAAAAAAACGCCGATTCTTAAAAATTAAACCATTATGGTTCATAAAAGTCAACACAAGAAAATGTCTTGGAAGTTACGTTGTAAGAATCTTCAATGACCATTTGAACCAGAAAATAAAGAAAAGAGTTATCAAAATCTAACCATGCGTTGTCAAGGTCATTTTAAAAGAAAGGAAATCGTCTCATTTTACACATTATAAAATTTCAAAAAGAAGAGGTTGGTTAAAATTTAATACTTCTTGTTACCCGTTAAACAAATTTATTTTGGATCATAATTACCTAAAATAGGATCTATGTTAGACATTTTACATAAGAGAAACATTAGATATCATTTGAATTAAGAATAGCAGTTTCATTGTTTTTATAGACTCAAGTGTCACTACACTTTCTGTTTATGGTAATATTATACTCTAAAAACTATTTGATTCCCTCTCAATAATTGAAAATTCCATAGAAACAGTTCTAAATAATACATTACTCCTGTAAAAGCTTTTATCATTAAAACAGGCTCTTCGGAAATCATTTTTATCTTCAAACGAATAAAAAATATTTTATTTTAGAAATAGACCCTTCTCAATATTTTTCATTTTAAAATTGCACGCCTTAAGAAAATTTTTTTTTTTAAACGGACTCAGTGTATAATATCATAATTTTGATACTACATCTCTTTCTAAGACATGGTTTACTCCAAACAATTACACAGAAAAATTACGGTCAATGACCGACAAAAAGTGTTCCAGCCACTAACCGTAAAAATAAAATTATGTCCCTAAAGCTGTCATGACCTTAAAATACAAGTCTCCCCCAAAAAATTTTCCCGTATAATATATGGTCCCTGACCTTAAATTAACACTATGTAATTTTTGAGACTCGAACAATTTATTTGTTGGATCATTGGTGAAACTTGGAACAAGGCGAAATAATGTAGTGCTGCCATCTGTTGAGAAATGAGAGAAGGATATGTTCGTGTTCGCCACTATAGGGGAAGTGTGAGAAAGAGTTTCTTTGATATCGGCTGGGATCGGACCCGAGACCTTTGGGACTGTAGGCAGATGCTGTAATCACGTTAGTAAATGAAAACACTCCCAATTGAGTTAAAAAGTTTTATAAAGTACCTGACGCAATATGAAGTTGTTTGAAACCCAACTAATAATAGAAGTAAGTTATTTCGATTGAATCGTCGATTAAATGGACTGTGAGAATATTAAAACAAGTAACAATTGTAACAAATTTATTTTAAACAAATGTATAACGCCATTCAACCAAGACGTTTAAATACAAAACGTCCATTAAGCCCAAGCAAAGATAAAAAAAAATAGTATCCAAAACCAAGATCGGCGCCAACACTTGGCATGGAATTATCCTTTAGTATACTTAAAATGCCCAGATTGTTATTTAACAAAAAAATTATCTAAGACAATATATAATTATTTTTGAAAAATAAATCATCTATATTATAAAAAAATTCTATTTTACTTAGTTGCTAGCTATATTTTTTTTTATCGTTATTAATTATTCTTCTGAATCTTATTCAAAATTAAATTAGCTATTAACTGCTTTTTAAAGATCTTTTTAAAATCATTCGAAACATTACTGAAGTATTTATAGAAGCGCAACAACTTTCATTCTGTATGCATGCATATACAGCATAGATATGCTCAGTGGACCTGCTATTTTCTAATAAACTTTTGAAAAGAAAATTATAAACTGTTCAATTTTATTATGTCCTAGAAAATTATAGCTGTTTAATAACGACGGGTCATTCTGTCATTTTTCTCAGTTGTCACATTTTATTATAGATATTTTAAAAAATTATAAAACAAAATAAAATAAAATTTAGAGAATATTTAAATATTATAATATAATAACTAAGCAAATAACTAAGTTTCAAGATTATATTATCCGATAAAACTTAAAATATGCAAGTTTATTTTCATATGTTTTATTGTATTTTAATACACAAATTTATCTTTACAAGATAAAAGGAAATAATTTTTATCGTATAATGTAATGATATAAAAATTTTAGGAAAAAGATAAAATTTCAAAGTAGATGATGATTAATATGTAAATAAAAAAAGTATTTAATGAAATCAATAATAAATCATTATTGCTGAGTCATTATCAACGAAATAACATTGAGATATTATTGATTCTTTAATTTTTTCAAAATAATAGTTATCTCAACTAAGTTGCGTTAATTAATTTGGAGGCAAACATAAAAAAGGTTTTCATTGGACTTTCTCAGTAGAATGATATCTTAGAAAGTGACAATGACTAAAGTTACCTAATCTATGGGGCTATCTTCATTGTTGATATATTTATTTATAAATAGTTAATTATTATAAACATAAAGTTAGAACAATCTTCTTTGCATGTTGTGTAAGGCTTATTGACTGATCTGCAATTTGGACAGTCGTATTGAAATGTGCATTAATCAGCATGTTTTTGTAGCACTGACTAAAGTGATCTAATGTATGGGGTTATCTTCATTGTTGATATATTTATTTATAGATATATCAACAATGAAGAAGTAGTTAATTATTATAAACATAAAATTATAACAATCTTCCTTGCATGTTGTGTAAGGCTTATTGACTGATCTGCAATCTGGACAGTAGTGTTAAAATATGCATTGATCAGCATATTTTTGTAACACTGATTAAAGTGATCTAATCTATGGGGTTATCTTCATTGTTGATATATTTATTTATAAATAGTTATTATCATAAACATAAAATTAGAACAATCTTCTTTGCATGTGGTATAAGGCTTACCGACTGATCTGCAATCTGGACAGTCGTGTTGAAATATGCATTGATCAGCATGTTTTTGAGCAACTGCTGCCAGTTCTTCATCCCAAACCTAAAAGATAAATTAATATATGTCATGCTAATGTAATTTAGTTAATAGGAATATACAGGTTTAGAAATTCTATAATTAATTTTTAACAATAATTCTAAAATAATAAATGAATTCTAATAACTTTATTTAATCAATTGATAAAAATTAGTTAATTACTATACTTAGAAAAAAAAGTATGGTCAAAACTACCTGAATATGGTAAAATTTACTGTGTTTCTGGCTCTATGGAAGCATCACAAAATTCGGTAACTACTTCCAAAGCTCTTTAGTAATAATTTGGGTAAAATTAACAACAAAATATGGTTTTATAACATGTGATAAAATTTAAAAAAGCAAAGAAGTCATCTTTTAATTTACAAAATTTTTTTAAATATGACCCATTCCTTCTTTAAAAAGACATAAAACATTCATCTTTTTGATTATATTTTTATTTTAACATGAAAAGTTTCCAAAAATACTACTTCCTGGTGTTTATAACAACAATTTCATTGAGATTTAACATTCGAGCTCTAAAACTCCATAAAATTAAAGAAAAAACTTCCTCTGAATCCATAACCACATAATTATGTGGATAAAACATTTATTGGTTCAAATTATTCAGCCTTAAAAATTTTATTATTAATCTAAATATTAAAAAAAACCGAGCAAATTGCTTGTATAAAAGATACTAATATTAGGATGAGATGAGAAAAAGACTCTATTCATATTATTTTAGAAACAGTTATTGTAATAATGTAACAGCAATAGAAAAGAATTAATCACTCATTTTACTCAATTTTGTTGAAAATAATGATTTATTGCTCTTATTAACTGCATTCTCTAAACTTGTTTAGAACTTTGTAGAAACAGAATTCTTGTGGCACCCAATTAGTGTTAATTAATTTAATTTCAAACTTTAGTCAAATTTGTCTAATGAGGTCAGACATGGATTAATTTTCATTAATTAGGCTTGTGAAATAATTGTAAATATTTCGCCCTTTATGAACAATTTCATAAAAAGCTGATAAAACTGATTAAAATGCAGATCATGAATAATTAATTAGAGTTCTCTTGAGAAAGTTTGATAATTAGTCTTGTTAAAACCATTTAAATAATTTCGATTTTTTTATTTATTTATTTTTTTTTTTTTTTGAGTTTGAGAAAATTATAAAATTGTTTATGATTACAAATTGAAATGTTTACTTTAAAAAGAAATATTAACATCAGCTAGTTGTCGGTATTTCACAGTTTCGTCACGAAATTCAGCTATAAATAACCGATTTACAGAAAGTTTAATTTTTAAAAAAGTGGTAATAGAGATAGTTGAATTTTTTGGGTGATATTTCCCTTTACGAAGCATTGAGTAATGAGGTATAGTGCGGGAAGAAAAACGGACCACAGTAAAGAACTAATGATAGGATCTTCACTTTCTAAAGTGGTTCAAAAAGATAATCTCGAATTTGCTAATTAATTATAGCAGACAATATTTTAAATTACGAAATCACACACAAAAACGTACTTTATCTGAATAGTTAAATCTTTAACTATTCAGATAAAGTACATACGTTAAAAGTACTTTATCTTTTTTTAACGGATTCGGATTTCTGACCTCTAAAATATAGAAGGTAGCAGCAATCTTGAAAATAAGGTTCCAATAGCTTGGTCCACCGAGGGGTCCAAAGTTAGGACACCTTAATGTCAGTTTCACTTTTTGCGTGATTCACCATATCTCGAGAACTTTTGAGCGAACTGAAAAGTTTTTGGACACAATTATAAAATTCGTTTATCCAAAGATAATTCCATGCAAAATTTAACTTTTAGTCATCGATTTTGCTATTTCGTGTTTTCCCATTTAAAATTGAATTCTTCAAAATGATGCAAAAATTGTATATCTTAGAATACTAATTAAAGTTATTAAATAAAACGAAACAATGAATTATTAACTATTATTAAATAAAATAATAAAAAATAATAAATATTTACTAATACTTATATTTTCCATGGAATTATCTTTGGATAAACAAAGTTTTCAATTCACTCAAAATTTCACGAGATATGATGAAATACGCAAAAAGTAAAATTAACATTAAGAAGGTCCAAACTTTGAACCGCTCTCTTGACTAATTTATCGGGACCATATTTCCATGATTCCGGCTGCATCCTATATTTTTGGGATCAGAAATGAGAATCAGTTAATTAAAAAAAGTATGTTTATTCCAAAGAAAATATATTTTTGTGTATGATTTCGCTACTTAAAATATCGTCTGCACTAATCAATTAGCATATTTGAGGTAACGTTTTTGAACTTTTAAGATTGAGTCCTAGAATATGAAGATACGATCATTAGATCCAAAAGTTTTTCAGAGTGGTCCATTATTTATTTTGTGCACTGTACATTATGAAAAATTTTTCTAAATTTAAATTTAAAAAATTTTAATTGCGAATCCTCTATTTTTTGTTGATAATAACTTCTTTCTGCAATAAAAAAACACACTACAATTACTTAAATCTCCCTGGAGAGAATTAAAGTGCCCTTTTTCTGTGCGGGAGGAACAAAAATGTAAATTTTAACTTTTTTAAAAGACTAAATTTAAATTTTTTTAAAAGTCTAATGGCAGGCATAATTTTAAATACTTTAAGTATGAAATCCAAAGTAACAGCAAAAAATATGCATGAAATGTAACATTCCCCATTATCTACTTAAAAACCTTCATTTTATACTACCATTATCAATTCTAAACTCATTTTCTTGATTTCTATATCGAGTCTAGGTTGGATTAAGGTTTTATATCCTACTAATAAACCACATTTCTTTCACTTCACTTAATCTAATTGTAAAGCTCAAACTAAATCTTACAAAAAAGGATTTCTTTTGAGCTCTCTACTCAGCGATTTTTTTCGATTGTAATCAGATATTTTTAATAGAATGAATAGAAATACTTAACAGCAACAAATTCTTGGTAAAATTTTTTTAACACTGGTATTCAAATTTTAAAAATTAAAATCGATTTAAATTAAATTTGGTATGAAGATAGGTTGAACACAATTAGAATTCACGCGTTATTATGCGTAGTTGGAAAGTATAAAACAAGAGTTACAGAATCGAACAAAAAATAAAGAATGACTTCCGACAGGCTGAAAAATTATGCAATTAATAAGACATATTAATTATTCTTGAGATCGCTGAATGGTTTGGATGAGTGTTCCATGCATGGGGTACAGTTAGTTGCATATAATTAATATAATTGTTAATAATTAGTTGCATATAATTAATATAGTTAGTTGCATATAATTAATATAGTTAGTTGCATATAATTAATATGGTTAGTTGCATATATTTAATATAGTTTATACAAGCTTATAGTTGAAACAAGAGGATCAGGTTCACCACAATATCAAAGTGACAGTTTCAACAATTGACAATTGAACAATTTCATATCTGAAATATTTTTGAAACTGAAATAGTTTAAAAAATTAGACTAAAGTCGATCATTACTAGTAATTAACATGGATTCCTGTATATGTTTTTTTAGTCAGTATTAAGAATGACTAAAAGTTTAAACCTGTGGGGATCTTATCAGACATCTGGAAATTAAAAAATGTCAAGTCTATTAGCAGATAAAAATTTAAAATTTTCATATGAAAATAAAAAATTTTGAGCGAGTAAACCAACTTCTAAGTAGGTAACAAGTCTTAAAATAACATTAAAAAACATCAACGCAGGAAATATCGGGCAATGGCCTTTTACCTTAAGAGAACACAAGTCGTCGCTTTGAAACTGAACCGTAGTAACACAAAAAAATCGAAAAAAGATATTTGGGTCATTTTGTGTGAAAAAAATCACCCTTTTAAAGAGACAACGTGTTATCTTCATAAGTTCCATAAAATTAATTTAGAGAGCAGATAAATTCGCTTTCTTGAAAAGTTAGAAATCGCTCTCCGGAAAAACTTGCTTTTTTGAGTTACCACGGTTTAGTTTCAAAGCGACGAAGTGTAGAAAATATGGGGCAATACGTCCTGCTAGGTTATTCCTAATAATGCACGGCTATTGATAAAAATCTATGCCTTTCTTATTAAGGGAAACCAAATAAAATATGAACCTAATTCAAGATATTAATTTGAACTAATGCTAATAAATCTTCATCATACTAGTTAAATTCATATTTTACACTTTGTCGGTTGGTTTGTCATTGTGCACAAGTACAAAGCAGTATTTGAAGTCTTTAATCAATTCAGACTTCATCGATTTTCAGCATTGTCAGATTTTTAACTTTACCAAAAATACAATGTTCGGTTCTTCATTATTATTGCCAGTATGTAATTGATCAGTATGTAATCAGGTGTGATACTTTCAACAGACAATTTCATATATTTAATTATTTTTTACAATCTTTTACATATTTAATTATTTTTTACAAAACTTTTTGCGCCATGCAGTCACTGTTACTTTTCAAAAGACATGGAAGGGTGAAAGATCATTTGTTGCCATATTGGTCAATTCTGGAAACGGAACCGTTAAATCAGGCACCGTTAACCTCATCTTTGCTCGATTTCTGTTCTTTCGATTCTAATGGGTGTTACGCGTGAGCTTGAGTGAGCACTAGAAATTTTGAATGCTAGTTATTTTATTTGTATTCATGGTTATTTTGTAACCGTCGTTGAACAGCCAACCCAATTTTTGGGTTTACGACTACTAATGTTCAACGCCGTAACCTTGTAATTTTGAACCCAATCCAGAAGACAAGGGAACTCCTGGATCAAGTATTGGGAGAAATTTGCCTTCGTGGAGGAATTTTTTATGGAAATAACCTGCATTTGCGTTACATGGAGAGAAAACCAAGAAAACCTCCCACGGCTAGCCTGATGGCAAGGAGACTCTAACTCATGATCCTTCTAACACTGAGGATATAACACTGTGGTCGGTGCAAGCCAGATTCGGAATTCGTATCGACTGGGATTCGAACCCGGTTCGCCTCATTGGAAGGCGAACGCTCTATCCCCTGGCCATTTTCTTTCGTAAT